TCACCATGTTGACCAGGATGGTCTCGATCTCTTGACCTCGTGATCCACCCGCCGCGGCCTCCCAAAGTGCTGGGATTACAGGCTTGAGCCACCGCCCCCGGCCTCTAAGATTTTTTAAATGAGGAATTATTTTTTATTTTTAAAAATACAAGAACATCATTTGAATTATTTCAAGTAATTAAAAGGAAATTTTGGGGACTATTATGCTAAACACTCTGTTGACATCTTTTCTCTTTTTTAATGGAATTTTGTGACTTAAAACATTTATTAAGAGAGATTATACATAGAACACATTATTAAAATAGATACTAGCAACATAATTATTTTCCTTGAAGCTAAAAACCAACCCTATCATTTTTTTTCTTACTGTATAAGAATGATATTAAGATAGGATAATATGTACCCTATAAAAAAATTAGTAACAAAAATAAATTGAGGTAAAAGGGGAGTTTCCCAGCTTAGACATTCAGTTGATATTCTTACTGTCCCCATCCAGCATTGTAGTTGGGAAGGAAGATCTTGTAAAGTAAATGATGACCAAATAAAGATGATGATGGAAACTTTTATTCACATTTAGTAAAGTATTTGGTAAACAATTCTAGCTAGGTCTCTTTTCAGGGAAGATGTAGGGTTTTCCCCTATGATGTAGGAGAGGAATTCTGTCAGAAATGAGAACTTCCTCATCAAAGCTACCAAACTTTTTGCAGAAGTCACTAAAATAATTGGTAAAATTTTACTAAATGTACTCAAGTGAGAAAGTAGCATAGTTATGAGTAAGGATTTAGGATTGGGAAGAATGTAGGCAGATACATAGCACTTTGTAACAGTAGATAGTCTAGATATTTCCTTGAGATTTTATCCTTTGTTGCTGCTATTTTTAGATTTCTCTGAAGGATTTTTAGTCTTTAAAATTGGGTATTTTATACTTACTGATTATACACAAACTACTAGATTTGCTGGCATGAGAACAGTTTTGTAACCTAAACATGCCTCCATTACGAGCAGTTGCGTGAGGAATAACCTAATGTAACTTTTGTTCTGTGTTCATTATCAGCGTTTCTTAAAAAAAAAAAAAAAAATTTTTTTTTTTTTTTTTTTTTGGAATCTTGGCCTGACACCCAGTCTTGGCCTGATACCCAGTGCAATAGCACAATCTCAGCTCACTGCAACCTCTGCCTCCTGGGTTCAAGCAATTCTCCTGCCTCAGCGTCTCGAGTAGGTGGGATTACAGGCATGTTCCACCACGCCCAGCTAATTTTTTATATCTTTAGTAGAGACGGGGTTTCACCATGTTGGCCAGGCTGATCTCAAGCTCCTGACCTCATGATCTGCCTGCCTTGGCCTCCCAAAGTGCTGGCCTAAAAATTTTTTAAATGAGGAATTACTTTAAACAACACTATTAATAAAAAAAGAAACTGAAGCTATGGGACGAAAGTAGAAAGAGAAACCCTTGCATAACCTACCAAAGCCATTCTGTTAGCAGTCCTGTTTGAGTCATTCAGGATTTGGAGGTTTTACAGATTTCCATGGGGGTGGGGGGGTTTCCCACTTTGCTTAAGACAGTGTGGCAGTTGCCTTCATAATGTGTGGTAATGTATCCTGTGAGATCTTTCACTAATAAATCAGTACAAAGACTGCTGAAAATATCCTTCCCTTTGAAACTACAGGAAATTCAAGAGTTACCCATATTATCCTAAGTGGAACTGAAAATGCCTCCTCATAAAAGAAATGTTACTCAAAACCAGTTAGTTCCAGAGAAGTTCAAAGACATTTTGAAGTTTTAGTTTGTCCACAGATGTCTTTGCAAGATGATTGAATATGGGTTATCTGTAAGTTTCTTTCTGTATCTAGTATTAATATGGAATGTTGTGTTTGGAGAAATGAAATTTTTGGGGGTTTTATTTCAGGTGGACTATATGGATGAAAATGAAGAATATTTTCAGCGTCAAGCTTCCCATAGACAGTCTCGAAGGAGATTTAGAAAAATCAACCAGAAAGGTGAAAGACAAACAATTATTGACACTGTGGATCCTTATCCCATGGGCAAACCTCCTTTGCCTAGAGGCTATCACACGGTAAGTTATACAAATATAATATTTTTATCTATTTCTAGTTTTCTGTTGAGGTTTTGTGAAAAGAAACTAAATTTTCAATTTTTGACAAATCTTTTCAATGATATTTATACATTAAGTATACTAAATAGATTTTGCTGGAAACAAACATGATATGATTAGTTTTTAAAAGACATTGAAATAAGATGTCAACAGACTTTGCTAGCTCCTTTATTTCTTAAATTGTTTTCTGAAGATCAGCTTTCTTATAATTGTCATTGGAATATTTTAAGTAGTTTTACCTTAATCAACATTGTAGCCACCTCCTGTGCACTCCAATCTTCACTCTCAACCGAAATACCCGCTATCATACTTGTTTTCCATTTTAAAAGTAGATATGAAAAAATTACCTTTTTTATAGCTTTTTATACCTTTTTGAGAATATCTGAGATTTATTTTTTAATGCAGTGAAGTAAGAATAATTTGAAATAATGCTTTTTAAAATCTCAATGTGAAGATGCCCTGAAATATTTCTAATAGGTTCCAAGATTCTCTTAAAGGCAGGCAGACATAACCCGGTTGATTGTCATTTATGTCATAAACATTGAAAAATAAACTGCTTTTTATGTTTGAGAAAACCAAGACACAGATAATGAGTGCTTTGTTCCAGATCTCAATAAAGTCACTTTAAAGCCTTATTTTTCTTATTGCTTTGTTTTTTAAGAACAAAGTAGCTTAATTCCTGAGTACGTTGTAATAATGTGAAAGATCGTTTATGTATATGCTATTGAGTAGTTTTTTATGTAAAATTAATTTTAAAATAAAAATAGATAATAACAACTATTTTACTTTCCCCAGTTATTTTCCTTACCTTTTTCTTTCTTTCTGCAAATAAGTATAAATACAAAATGCATGGGGAAATGTATATAGACTTAAAATTATTTACTCAATTTTTATTATGTTTAAATGACATATCTTATACCCACACTTCATATATTCTGTTTCTCAGAGAGCTCTTTATATTTGAATACTTAATGTGGTTTTGACCACTAGCAACTTGCCTCCTCTTCTTGCTACCCATGAAGTATTTTAGTTTAACATGAATTTCATAGTTGAATCATTTCATTGAACTCATTTGGAAAGGATTGCTTTTTGCTTCTCACAAAGACATCTTTGTCTGTTGGAGAGACTTAGTATTAAAAAACCATGAAAGGTTTTTTTGTTACCATTGTCCATAAAAGAAGGTAATATTTTTAGGGTTGATATAGCATTATGAAAGAAGGAAATATGTATTAAAAATAGTTACACATGTTAATAGTGCAACACAGATAATATTTTAACCTAACATTAATATTAATTTTTTTCTGCTTTGGAATTGTTTTTCCAGATTAGTTTTTTAACTAAAATAATCAGTGGGAGTATGGATTATTTAAATGTAGTGTTAAAGTTGGTTGGTTTGTTTTTATAGTCATATTTGTCACAGTTTAGTTGGGTGGGCCATTTAATAACTGTTTCTCCCCCCGTGCCCCCAGGGTTTCTCCCTTTATGGAAAGCTTCATTCAGTTTCCTTAGGCTCCCCTTTCATTATTTGTTTTAAAAAATGTATTTCTTTTATTATAAGTTACAAGACTTTTTTTAGTGGATTTTTAAGAATGCCTTACCTAGCCAACAGATACTTTTAGGGAAAATTCAATACTAGAATGAAAAATTTGGCTTGTTTACTAATGAATCATATACTGGTTTACTAATACGTGACATGTGATATTAATTTTATTAAGTGAGTTAAGATTGGCAACAACATGATCATAAGAGTTGCATCCTTTTTGAGGTGTAAATGACATTGTAATTATATTTTCTTATTAAATTAATACATAATTTTTATATAGGAAGATCACAAAATTTTGTTTTGTATATATGATACCACATAGTAAAAAGAATCACATAGAAATTATTATTCTTTATTAGCCCTACGTCATACTTATTTATTCTTAACAGAAATAGTTCTCTTTGAAAGAAATTGGCTAATAGGGAAGGACTGAGGGTGAAAAGTTTATTTAGAAGAATTGCATGATCAACTTCACAGGTGATTTAAAGTGATTGCAAGTGCATTGAAAGTGCATGGCTAAAGAACATGGAAAGCATTATACATATAGCCGATTCTATATGATCATTCTTAACCTAATTTAACATTATCTTCATTTTGGCAAATGTAATATAGCATGTCTGATAATGTTCATCTTTTCCTTTCCTCCTTTATGGCACTCATTTCATTTTGGCTCAAAGGAATGCACTAAATCTCAGGTATTGTAATTTGTGTGTGGTCTCCTGACACTAACCCTAAGTTTGTGTGTGAATTTGCACTGTTACTAATGAATTTATAATATTGATATGTTTTGCTTGGCCTTGTCCTTTTGCATTTTGCCCTGATTTACTTTGAAACTGTCAGTGGTTTGGGTGGTAGAATAGGCTGCTTATGTGTATAGACCTGGGGATGGATTGTCCATGTTGAAGAAAGAATTCAAGTGCAAGCTACTTATTTTTAAATATGAATGGAGCACTTAAAAAATGAATGGAACAGCTAACCTCTTTGCAAATAAAAAAATGAAAAGAGAAAGGCAGGCAGACATAAAGGATTTTTTTTCCTTTTTATGTGAAAGCTTATGGGAAATTCATTAGAAACTTACATTTTAAATGCTATAGATGAAAACTTTAAAGTTCAGGAATCCCAATATGGAGAACATTTTGGGAGGCCACTGGTAAAATTTCAGTCAGATTTTTTTTTTAAAAACTTAGTCAAAAAGAAAACAAAGTTTAAAATCTCTTGTATTTTCTTATTTGTACTTTGTTTTTAACAAGATTTCATGCTTTTATGTCATACTGCATTTTAATCGAGGTCTGTATTAATCTCCTTGCTCACTTCTTTCATGCCAGTGCATGACTAAGTAATGTACTAAGTACTAAAGTACATGACTAAAGTACTGTACTAAGTACTAAAATCTATGATTTTCAGTGTGATTTCTTGAAGGTCTAGATTACATTTGGGTTTATTACCAGGGAATTTTGAGTCAAGGAAGAAAAACTGATTTATTTCTAAAAACTAATTGGTTAAGTAACTAGTAGCATTTTATGGTTGTGTTTTATTACTGTATAGAGAAAATATAATGAATAATTTATTCACATTAGGGGATATCTATCGTCAGTATATCTTTGGCTATTAGAGTAACTTTGCCTAAAAGTATGAATTTTACGTATAATTTTTCAAATTAAAATGAGGCAGTTCCTTTATGTTCTGTACATACTCTAGAGAATACATGTAAGAATTCCACAGGTGGCATGATTGCTATATTGGTTTTTGAAAGCACTACTAATTTTTAAATGATGTGGTAAATCTAAAACATTTTTATATAATTTAAAAATTTTATGTAAGTTAAATAAAATTTAAAAATTGTACACAGTTTTTTGTACATCGGTGTTTTGAGCTTTTCTCTGGAAAGAGTATACTTAAAATATATATAACATAATACTTTAAAAGATAAATCAGTATGTAATTGATCCTCCTCTTTTTTTTTTTAGCATAAATTGCCAGTCTAATTCCTACTTAGAATTAATTTAAAATGTACACTGAGTTATGATCTGTACCTTATGTACACTTTTTAAAATTAGATGTGTTGCAATAGTTTAAAATGGATTATAATGATTTTCTTCAGAAACCGTCCATGTAGTGTGTTTTTGGGACATTTTTCAAGGCAAGTGTGTGAGGTTTGCAGAGAGAATAGCATTTTAAAATGCAGTGAGAAAGGAGGATTAGAGATGGCTTTCATTAGCATTTTCTTACATTTTGATGAGTTGAGATTGAGGCTGTATTTAAAATGGCTAAAAAATAAGATTTAGCATGAATTTTCAGTCTTAGAGTGAGTAGATTATAGAGACAGGTAATAAGGTTTCTGGCAGAGGCTGGAAGATTTGGGGTCTGTCACTAAAGAGACTATCTTGGGACTTGGCGTGGTACAAGTTTACCTTGTCTCCAGGTTCAGAATAGGGCAGGAGAAGAAAACTATGTTTATTTACCCATGGTTTCAAGCCTTCTCTGTATTGATCAGCAATTTATTCTAGAAGTTTGTGTGGGTAGGAAAATCTGAATTTCATAATAAAAACGGAGAGGAGAGGAAGGACCATTTTAACTTTTACCTTTTCGGAATGACGTGGGAAGCTGGTATATTCCTCCTTCATCATCTATTCCTTCTGTGATTTTAATGAGGAAAAAACCCAGCTCTTCAATTTTCCTGGTTTGGAAAGAGGAAAACTATACAGAGAGATATTAGACTAAAGAGTGAAGAAAACTTGGCCAAACTGTAGAGGTTATGTGTCCCTACTGACATTTCATAATTTCCATCCTTCCTAGCCTGGTGGCAATGTCAAAAATGCTCTCCACACTTTAAAGTTCTGATTGACCCCACACCCCCACTCCTACTTACCAAAAAATATGACTCCACTTTATCCAAATCTGAATCAGGAGAATTTGAACAGTGTAAATAAAACATAAAGTTTCAGTCAATGCAAAATTTTTTAAATAATAAAAAACTCATTGGTCATGTAAAAGGATATCTCCCAAACATTTTATTAGTAGTCCTTTTCTACAGTGTGAATATACAGTCTAGAGTACTGTTTTATAAAGATACATTGAATTTTCCAGTAGATGAGGTTAATGTTCTTGGGAGAGAATATGCAAAAGTAATAGAAAATATTATATAAAATTAAGTTAATATAATCTAAGTTGAATGCCATATAATATTAAAATTTATGTAAATAATTTTTATTGTGGTCAGTGATAATACAATATTTTTAAAATGTGGCTGCAGTGTAATAAAATTGATTCATATATGAGGCTTATGAAAATCAGTCCCATTATTAAAATAAGGTTATTATTCTGTATAATACAAGACAAATTCTATTTCTTAAATTGGGTATATAAGATATAACCATTCCTAGGATATATCTTATATATCTCTGAGGTCAATATTTTTCTCGAGATAGATTTAAGTTGGTTTCTCCTTCAGTTAAAGACTTCATGGTAGTTTTGGTTAGTTTCAAAAATAATTTGGTTATTGAAACAAATGAAAACATTACAGCATTTAGTTTCTGTTGTGCACATTTATTTGACATTTAGGCTTTTCGACTCAAGTTAATGTTCTTAAATTAGAAGTAGGCAATATTTTTACCCATGTCCTGTTTTTGCTTTGTCATTTATATTTTATTCAGTTTTTTACTGAGGTTTCCTTAGGTTTGACTCAGTATTTGCTACTTAAAATAAGAGATATATTTTGAGCAGTATATAATGACTTGTATAGCTAGTAAATTTCCTAGAATATTTCAGATTTTACCTTCAGTTCATATACTATCACACCTGGCTATAATTAATATGATACAAATCGGTATGTGTGTGTATATATATATATTATTCAAATCCAGGGGAAATTTCTCAGTTATCTTAATTTTTTTTCTTTTAAAATTTAAATTTATGAAGCATTTGTTTGCTTAATTGGACCTGAAGGCTTGTCTTCAATATTATTATCAGTGTTTCTCTGTGAATTATAATAGGGTGGAGTTTCAGGAAATTTTTGTATTTTAATTGTTGTATCAGAGAGAAGAAAGCTCAGTATTTTCATTTTTGGTCATTTAACAAATATTTATTGAGTGCCCACTGTGTTTCAGGCTGTCCCAGACTCTAGATATATAAAAGTCTGCAACACAGAATCTGCCCCCTTTACCTTTATAGTCTCACAGGGAATACAGTTAAATAAATGGTACACACCCAAGGCCCCTAAAGGAGTCAGGGATGGTCTCATCAACCACCCTAATGTCTTGGCTCAAATAAAAATGTTTTGTACAGAAAGAATCTTATTTGTTCAAAGATTTAGATGTTGAGTGGTCATAGGGTTTTTGAAAGCCACATTGAAAGCTGAACTTTTTTCATGACTGTGAGTAACACCAAAGAGACTGCAACAGAGGTATGGCATACTGAGGTTTACATTTAAATAAATTAATCTGGTTCCAAGATGCGATAGATTTTGGGTATAGGGATTGTAACCGTCTCCCCAAGACGGGGACCACAAGTGATGGAAATGGAAGTAGTGGCAACTAGAGTAAGAATGAAAGGTGAGGGGTTTAAGTGTTATTCAGGGGAAGAAAGTAGAAATAATTTACATTTTAAAATAAAGCTTTAGCTCTAATTCATTAATTTCTGATGATTTGCTTTGTGGGCAGTACTTTGTATTTCAATAGTGTTTAATGACTATATGAATACAAACACTTCAGTGAGAGTTTGAGGTGGACTAGTTTGAAGCATATTATTCTTTAATCCAGGAAAGCTAAATAGAAATGTAAAAACTGAATTAGGTAATAAAGAATGGAAAAGAGAATGCGGAGAGAGTGTTAGAGAGTGATAACCCCCCCACACACAGATTTTACTAAAATTTATTATTTGGACGCCTGATGCTTTATGTTTCATCAGAAGTGTCTTTGGAGAGTGGTGTCAAAAGTATCCTTTGCTTTTCACGGCCATTATCGGCAGATTTACTAGCTCCTCTTTACCCTAGATCATGTTGCATTTTAACATCCTGCAGAAAGCTCCCTGTGGAAAAGTCTCTGAACAATAGGTGGATGTATCAGTACTGTGCTGTGTGTGCTGCAATTTCTGGCAAAATGCAGCATGTTAAAGCTGCTACAGTGGTCTCAACCTCCTTGCTTTGGTGGAACTAATTTTCTTTCTTGCGGTTATAATTGGGTATTTATGTTGACTTAATTTATATGGATTGGGAAATTACACTATAGAGTGTACAGAAATTGAAATGTAAATCAGGAAATAATTTTAAAAATAAAATGATTTCTCATGCTATTAACAGCATGCATTGTAAATTCATGCAAGGCAGTTGAGAATGGTATGCAGTGTGCTGTTTACCCAAGTATCAGCTTCTGTTGAAGGATGTCTATTTTTATATATTACATCATCTCTGCTACAGAACTCCGGTGTCCACTGGGATTTACTGTTCTTTCATTCCATTTTGAAAGAAAGCTTGTATCGATGTCATAATTGGACCCATCTTTTGGTTGCACTTGGAAATTGAAAGTAATAAGGGTGTTGTGTAGTAAGTCATGCAATATTTCAAGCAATTTACTTGTCAAAAAGATCACTGCCACTTTGTCTTGCCTCTGCCTGTGAACACTAGTGGCTCTCTGCGCTTGTACATGTTTTAAATATACTTGGCTAAAATTTAGCTTTTAATTGCAACAGCGAAGATGCT